AGGAGATTATATAGATGAGATGTATTCACCCTACTTTGTTCAAGGTTAGAAGGACTGGTAATTGAATTCTCCCACAAATATATGAATATGTCTTCCGTTTCCATTAAAGTTCACATATCCTTGCTTCCAAAAAGGTTTATTCATCTACAGTGGATTGCAGTTTTGACTTCGCTTTGGACTCATTAGCACCCCTAGAGGGACTATAACTCGGGCATATCGGTCAGTGACGAGACTATATGGTTACACTACGAAGGCGCGATCTTCGTTATGGGGGCTAATAAGACCCAGGCGAGATCCAGAGTACAATCCATCCTGGATGAGAATACCTTTTGGGAAGCAAGGCTATGTGAAATTCATTGGAAACTTAAAGCATATTCATAGCATTTTGGGAAGATTAAACTGATTTAGCCTTGCCACACAAAAGGCATTGATATTCGGATTGAACTACTGTTTCGACCTAGCCTGAGTCTCATCAATCTAACTAGAAAAAAATGAGGCCTGGCTAGCCTTGAAGTCGACGTCTGCTCTGTGATTCACCAGGGCACTCGTGGAGTGTGGCGTAATGGTTACATATATATAAGATGTATGTGTGAGATGCAGTCTCGAAAGCATACTTATAAACGAAAAGTAATGGTAACATGAGGAAAATATACACTGCACTACCCAGGTTCGATTCTCGTTGGGGATGATGGTGAGGTCGAAATTGCAGTACACAGTGAGTCAAATACCTTTTGGGAGTTAAGGTTAGGTGAAATTCAACAGTATCGTAAGGCCTAAAAGTACTTCATCACCTTCTGAGACCTATGTTGAATATAGGTATAATAAGCAGAATACTTTGGAGTAGGAAATGTTAAATATTTGTAGGCATCTGTCTGGTAAAGACAAAGCTGCCAGAAGATATAAAAGTAGAAACATAAACAATTTTAAGTACCTCTGGATTTTTAGGATCCTCGCATGCAGCCAATGAACGACTAAGTTCGAGATTAGTGTCTGTACGGATATCAAATCCCCGAGCTGCTGCGCACCGACGCAATTCGTCGAAGAACTCAGGCCGTGGAGGTGGATGTCGCCGAAGACAGGCACGGTCTGGAAACGCCTGAAGGCAGCGACGGGCCACCCAATGATTGGCAAATATCATCAGTTCAGCAATGGTACTATGCATTTCTAGAGGCTTGTAGAAAATCCGGGTAAGAATGCGGAATAAAAAATACATAAAATGATCGTCTTGTTGCGCTAAGTCAAGAATGTTTACTGTCAGTTGATATTAAATGACATTTTTCGAAATGAGGGAGTCTAACTAGGTATGAAAAGAAGAAGCTGCATCATTAGAAATGTAAAAGGCTGAAGGATTAATAATGATTA